TTACTCGATACAGCGTCTGTATGCGTATTAATATATGTGTATATGTTTATGGATGCTCAGGATTCTGGGATTTCACTCGATGCAGAGTCTATATTCGTAAAGAATCCAGGATTTTATAAGCATATACAGTTTGAAGAATTTACGGGCAAAAACGTAATAAAATAGTTATTATTTTAAGAGGAACTATAAACGACTTCATTCTTATTCAAAATAAGTTTTTCAGAACAAATTCATGTATTTTCGAGGTTTCGACGATTTGATCGTCGTTTTCAAGAAAATTTCATAATTAAAACACAAAAGGAAAGGAAATTAAATTGAATTATAATATAAAATGAGAATAAACAATCCAATGAATTATTATACACTAACAGATAAGAAAACGTGTATAGATCTCTATTATCTTTCCTTTTGTGTTTTAACAACAACAAACAACAGTAAATCAACGGTTATAATGAACATTTTATAGTCCATTGCGTTGAAGAATTAAGCAGTTATCAGCTATCGAAGTTGATGACCAGCATCAATGGTTTTATTTCAAATACTCCGTAGTCTTGTGTTGTTCATAGTTTCGGATGAAATAATTTTCTTTTTCTTTTTTCCTTCTTTGTCTAATATCACGGTATGCTTCAAAAGTTCATGATAAATGGATCGCAATGCAAAACAATAGTACAAAAAAACGGAATATACCTTTTGGCAGGTACTCGCTTACTCAGGAATAGTCGGATACAAAGAACAACGAAATCGCTGCGCGTTTGCGCTACCGCGATCGCTATGGTATCCCGCATGTCGCGACGCGATCTCTATGAAATCTTATATTCAGATTGCGATCGGGCTACATTCTTAAACTTATGGCATAATCCTGATCAAATCTTATTTTCCAAAACGTTTTCTGTACAAGTCACTTTGCGATATGTAAACGTGTCACGATCGCTATAAACAAGGAAAGATCCTGTGATATGTAAAATAGATGGTTCAGTTTTGTTTTCATGCGCATCTATAATTATTATTGCTGTACAAGACAGATATGAATGAGAATATCAAGTAACTGTTTTTTCATTTTCTTTTCATAGGTTGTACATACAATACGATAGATTAAAGAACGTATCGTAGCTGTGGTTCAGAATACATTCCGATGCGAATTTTTTCTCATCAGGCATTAGAAACTAAATATAATGAGGCATTTGACTGATGGTACATTTGACCGTTTGTCTGGCAGAGACGCCACAATCCTATAAAAACCTAGATAAGTTTACAAAATCACGCACTCGATTTCGAGTGGTTAGGATCGTGGCGTCTCTGCCAGACAAACGGTCAAATGTACTATTAGTCAAATATCTTCATTATATTTAGTTTCTAATGCCGAATCAGAACAAATTATTCAAAGAATTTAGAACATAAACATAGAGTGAAAATTTGACATTTTCGAAAATCTAGCTAGCATTTTGACAGGTTTTGAGACCTTCCGAGTTTGTACAGTTTTTCTACACGAAAAAATTATTTTGAAGATTAAAAATTATATATTCGTGATCAGCGTCAAATTCTGCATCGAATGATGTATAAAAGATTGAAAAAGAAAAACTTGCTTGAATTTTGAATTATGGGTACCTTACTGTTGAGTAAAAAGAGTCAGTGCATTTAATTTTCGCCGTGGTTTCACTAGTTCTTGTCCGATTTTAACTGAAAAATTTCAATACTCATCACAATGGAAGAGCCGAGAATTATCTATACTCCAGTACAAAAATTTCTTGAAAATTCATGTTGGTTTCCCAGATATATTTACCAACGAGTTTTTTCTTGCTTAGACACACCAACGAAGATGTTTTCTACAGACTGGCCGAATTTGAGGGCATGTTTCGGTGAGGACACCCTTCCTTAAAGGAAAATTTAAATGATATCAGTTGACAATTCCAAAATTTGGTTAACAAAAACAAAAATGAACCCTTTGATGCTTAATTACGACATAAATATGAGTAATTACGATTCTTAGGATTCAAGAATTTTTAAAATTCTAAGGATTATTAGCAATTCTAACATTCTTCTATACCGATTTTTCACTAATGTTGGAGCATCCAGGAAAATTGCCATGTATTGGCTACTACATACTACTAGATTCGATACTCGACTGAATTTGAGTATGTTAAAAAATATCAGATTTTTTTTCGCTTTTCGAAAGACAAAAGCTGTTACTTATTATAAAAAATTTTTTGCTATAGTGCACGTTTTTCACCTTTATGGACAGAAATGCTTTTATACATTTGAAATGTAGAATAGAAGAGAAAAAGCAAAACCATTTACCGCATTCTGATTCAAACATGAAGAAAAACAAAAGTGAAGAATACAATCGCACTTCCTCCTTTATCAGTTTTACTCTTCCCTTGTGCCTGGATCTGTTGGTGGTGGTGGATCATCCTAAAATCGACCGAGAGTTTCGTTAAGTTGTAACTCTCCAATAACTGCCCAGCTCGGATCAATTTTCACCACATCTTCAATATCTCGCTAAGAAAAATTAAAAAAAACAACTCTGAAAGAAAATAAATGTTGCACACTTTTGAGAACTGAAGTTCGAACTAAAAGCAGAATCTTTGAACTGCAGACCATTCTTTTCTTAGCTGAGCGACTTAATGAGTTGGTCGGCCACGACCAATCCTAACGGTTAGGGGCTAACCGTCTCATAATAAAAATATAAACTTACGAGACAACGTTGTACCAGCGGGGCCTTTGGCTCCTGTTGATTATACCGTCGCTCAGCTTGTTCATCGTCGTCGGACAGATTTCCTGTTCGAAGACTGGGTGCCGAACCTGAAAAAGGTCAGGTGCCCTCAAGAGACCATATACATATAATGCTAAAAAGAATTTGCTTTGGCAGGGATAAGGCAATCACTTTAACTCTACTTTACATGTCAAGTTAACATAACACTTTAACTTTTTTTAAGCAACTTTACACACAGTGGACGAAAAACAATGTTTCTCGAACTTCTCTATTTTTGCATAGACCGCCTTAACTTTTGAGGTGAAATTGAGCTTTAAGTTCATGTAACAAACCTGGTGATTCACCTTACGAACTGCAAAATACGTATACCTCACCTCCTACCGCAGCTATATGTGACAGTATTCCTGACATTCGAATCATATGATTTAAGATTGGCATTGTTGCACTCAATGGAAGTTGTGGTGTCCAAAAATGATGACTTCGTTGAAGTTGTTGTTACGGCTCATTATCATCAGTTGTTGGTCGGTTATTATTACTCAATGCATTTATTATGTTTCGATGGAATGGCAATGCAGCATACTGTTCACTATTTGTTACAGCATTGAAATTCGGTCCATGAGGATGATGTTGCAAAATGTTTGCATTTCTCAGGTTTCTAGGACAGATCGATGGAGTTGATAAGGAGATATGTGTCATATTTAACGGATTCAAAAGTTCCTGGAGTACCCCGCTAATATTTGGATAGCTCTTTATACTTGGCATCGACGTTAGAGACCCTTTAAATCCAACCTGCTGACGATCAGAGAAATCATATAAGCTAATCAATTGAGCCACTAAAAAACACGAACGAAAAGATGGCTTTCATATTAGCGTTCATCTACGAAATCAGCTAAAACCTCGATCCTTGTCTCATAAAAGTTATACCAGTGTTGTATAGGTACTTGTGAAAGCAGTCCCTTCGTGCTAATCGGAATGGTTGCAAGTACTCCCAAGAAAGGGCTTCTTCAACCCGTGAGTGCTGCAACTATACCTTCCTCGTCCTTCTCGATTTTCCGACCTGCGCCAGGATTTCTACCACTTACTCGATACGAACATTGTTAGCAAAAATGCATATGGCCTGTCGAACCCATGTACTTCCTCATCTGCTAAGGGTAAATCTTTGTCTTGATCATTCAGAAATACTAAGTGCTTGTAGCGATTCCAATTTTGCTTATTACTGCGATCGAACAGAGAAAAGAAATTGAAAAGACAAAGGATATTATCGCTCCATCTATCATCATCTTCAACGTAATTCGGAAAATATGTCGATGTTAAACTTTTAAATTCAATTTTCATCACATTTGTAATTTCTAGCTTATTTAACTGGTCTAGATCGTTACACAAGGACATTTCCAGGAGATCAACTTTAGGACTAATTTCATGATCTTCATCTACTGCACTGAATCTTAAATTCAGAAGGATCATTCGTACTTCATCCAGTTGCTCAGCACTGAATCCTTCAAAAATATTTAAATCTCCAATGAAATAATGCTGACAGTGATACTTTGATAGGAATTTTTCACAGACGAAATCAATCCACTGTTCAGCTAAAACTTTTGTTAGCTCTTCGTACTGTAAACCCGATTATAAATTCAAATTCTGTAATTCACACATCCAGAGGACGCTGGTTTTTATGGAATACGATGGAACTTGTTTATTTTCTTTTTGATAAATGTACCTGTGATAAATACTCCGTGCTATGCCATTTAATATTTTTTCAATTTCACTACGCTCATTGGCAAAGATTTGTTCAACTAAAGAAAAGGAGAAACGAAATTCGTATTCGCTTAATTCAACAGGCGCTTTCTTGGACCATTTTGGAATTACGTGCATATGAATTAATTTAATTTTTCATACAAATCTGGGCGATTCTTCTTGAGACGTTGTAAAAATGGTTCTATTTTACTAGGCCAAAAGTTCAGTTTTATAGCTGAAACCATATCAACATCAATATTTTTTTCTTGCATCAGCCGATTGAACCATTGGAGCAGTTTTTCTGACGAACACAAATATCGATATTTATTGAAAAAGTCAATATATGCAATGACTTTTTCTTTTGTATCATCATGGAGACTAATATGGTATGCTGGAGCCTGTAATAGCTGTGTATTATTCAACAAGTTTATGTTGACAGCATCTTTCATGTGTGGAGAAGATTGATGGAATGTAGGATAGGTATACTGTCCAGGAATCCTGTTCTAAAGGACAGGTATCGGTTTCTGCTGGAAAATGGCCCAATATGATTTTGAGTGAAAATGATCAGAAATGCTTCCCTTTTCACTTTTCAATACTTCCCATCTTCAAAAAATCCTTCTGGTGTCTTTGAAATGGTGTTTCACACAACTGTAATCGGTTTATGAACGGTTACAAGAGGCCTGAAAACTATCAAAAAAAATCTGGCCAAAGAGCATTATAGACCGTCAGGAGATATTTTATTTCCCTCAGAATTCTATGCTCTATTGGGCTATATGATTTGAAAATTTTTTTGGCTAAAAACCAAGGACTTGGTTTTCAAACAGTCAGATTTTCCAGAAACCCTCTTACCAACTTTTCTGATGAAACGGCGATACGTACCTCATCTATATAGAAATATGCACCTAGTCGATACAAAAATCTTTGGGCTATTCAAAACAGTATTCAGATTGATTCCAACCATTACTAAAAGATCAAAAACAAAGGAGTTCTTGTGATTATGACACGTGGTACTGCATATATAACACCAGAACGCTTCTTTTTCGTATCTTTATTGACTGGCTCCACCTGACTGGATATTCCGACTAGTTCAGTTTGTAGAGAATTTCAAGGGCTATCCAATGGTATGGTTTTGAAAATACATAATGTTCCATTATGGCAGAAGAATGACTAAAGCAGTGTTTAAAGCACTGAGGTAGATAAAAATCATTATATCGGCCAAGTATCTCAATTATTGATCCATGTGAGCATATTTTTCAAAAGCTCATTTATAGCTTATTTTGAACCCCAGAAAGTTCTCTATCTTTCTATATATAAAACGTTCCGGGTCTGGGGAGATGAGTTCAAGAAATATTCCTTTAAAGTGTTAAGATAGATGAAAATGACGATATCTGCCTAGTATTTCGACTATTGACCCATGTGGGCATATTTTTGAAAGACTAATTTGTAGCTTATTTTGAAACCCGGAAAATTTTCTATCTTTCTATATGTGAACTTTGCTCAGGGACTTTGAAATAGGACGAGAAATTTGAGGAAAAACGTAAATGATTTTTGTTGAACTGGTGTGAAAAACTGAAAAGTAATTTTTTTTTCCAAGACACCAGAAGGATTTTTTGAAAATAGCAAATATTGAGAAGTGAAAAGGGAAGCATTTCCAATCATTTTCACTCAAATCAAATTGGGCCGTATACCGACTCTCAGGCGTGCGACACTTGGGCGCAATCGTTTGGACGCGCAAGGTATTTGGATGCAACGGCAGTAGGGTCCGAACGACATTTGATCTTTAAAGACAGGTGTGGATGAGGGTGAGTATCGGTGGAGAATAAATAAACAGTGATTACATGTGATTATGAGTAATATAGAAAAAGCTGTCACACCGTATCAAGTTTGTTTAACAGAAAAGTTTATCGTTATGCATCATACTTTAACAAATGCACTCTTACTGAATGCTTGTGGCATACATGCACCCAAAACTGCGCCGAAATGTGGCGCACGCCCAAGCATCTGATAATCGAAAGTTTTTCGGGAAGGTGCAGTTTTCCGCAAAAATTTTCATAGCAAGAGCAAGCAAGCTAAAAGAACGAAATATTTTTTTGAGCTCAATTCGCCGAAATAAAATGTCAACTGGAGCTCTATGAATCTGAGTTGATTTTACTCAGATTCAAAAAAATTGAAGTTGCCAGCAAAAAGCCGAAAAAAGGGAAAGAGTCTGCGTTAGACTAATCAATGAAAAGCATATTTATTTGAAAAGCGTGGCTTATCTATATAATTAAAGGCCTACTTCGCTATTTTGAGCAAAAGACAAGTTACATTTCGAGGTTTTCTGTCGTTCCTGACGCCAAAGTTAGCGTTTATCCCGATTCAGCCCTCTATTCTTACGACATATATGTCATGTTAGTCTCTATGTTTGAGATCACTAAAAAAATGCAGAGTACTTTTATTCGCAGAAACTTGTTTGAAACTGAAACGTTTTTCGCCTTTTCCTTGGATAAATAAGGGTTTTTTGTCAATGTAGCCAAGGCTTATCCAGATAACAGATTGCTAAATTCAATATTCTACATCAACATGGAATAAGACACAGCATAACAGAGCTAGATCTGAGTAAAGCTAAAGCCTTATCCAGCCCAGTGGTTTCACCGTCTCTGACCAATGGTTGTCTCTATTGTATTTGAACGAAATCTTTTCATGATAAATAAATTCCTTAAATCTCGCCCAACTCCTTTAATACTAATAGATAAAAAGAGAAAATTTAATGAGCTTGCTAAATACGTAAGAAGATCCGCTAATGCGAATATTGTATTTGACACTGACGTGCTTTCTAATAGCGGGGCTAATACAGTGAAACAGAGACGGTTTGGTAACGTTAATAAAATGTAGGCGATACACATCAATCCTAACATGATTGAGATTCGTTTATTACGCAAAAATGATACTTCATTTATTCGTGGTAAGAAAACTAATTTTATGATTGCTAGAACTGTGGAGATTATCATGATAGCAAATGATACCATACTCATGAAGACCAGATGAAACCATATTATAAATAGATTAAACGCCTTGGTTAATACAGGATTTGTTGAGTGATAACATTGAATACTACCATCATCTGCTCGATACCCTAAAGCAAGTAAGAAACATTCTGTTATCACAAATATACCAGCTATTAAGATACATAATTTCCACGCTTGTTTTGATTGTGCTATTTTTCGTTTGTATGCAGGTGACCATAAAATGAATGTACGATCAACAGTTGCCATTGTTAAATACATAACTGGTAAATGTAGAGTATAGTAACCAATAAATTCGATTAATTTGCATGTGACTAACGAGCGATTGGTTATACCTTTACCAGTTAAGTTTGCGATTGCATTATCTAGATTGAATTGATACAATCCTAGAGTGTCAGCAAAACATAAACAAATTAAATAAACATTGGTCGATGTTGGCTGATGATTATGGGAATTATCTCAATCGGTTCTAGACAATAGAACAATTATACATAACACATTACAGATTGTACCAACGAGAACGATCACATGAGGCAAAATACCGATAATGATCAATTCAACAGTTGGCCATTGGGGTGTTTCAGGTGAAAATTGCTGCAACATTCTGTTAAAATATACTTCCTGCTCCTCTAAAATCGGAAAAAATTATAAAAAAATTATATTATAAAACTTCCCATATATTTCGAATGATAAAAGATCTTATCAACTGAAATAGAGTTACGCTAATATTATAGTGATCCTTTATTTGTAATAATGAAAACGTCGTTTATTCATCGTATCATCACGTCGACATAGGAATATATCTTCGATTACAAAATACAGAAACTCAGATAGGTAAAGATCAATTGAGTGATTCAAAAAGTGACATGTTTAGATTGTAAATCGAAATAATATTTGACACCAAAGCAAATGAAAGTTTCTTTATTTTATTGTGAAAATCGCTCTTCTCTTTATAGTACAGAGAAAGAAAACAGAAAGACACATCTACTCGTGCTATAAAGAAGAGAATAGTTTAAAAGTCATAAATATTGGATACGATTAATAAATCAATCCATCAGAAAGTGATTTTGTAAGTTTAACAAAAGGGCACTAAAGCTCTGTTATCGACAAAATGGTTGCCGTTTTAAATCAGAGGTCATCATTTTCTCCAAATAATCATTCACTTTTCTATTTTCTCCTTTGTCAGCTAAATCACTATATGGAGTAATTCTAAATGTCTCAGGTAGGTAGAACTTCTGGATCTAGGCTTACTTGTCGTTCATACTAGTTTAGTCCATATTATTGGTGTTGGTCCTCCTGTCTCGGTTATGATATTGAATGACGGTAAAAAACAATCGCTTTTCTCTTTTTATCTATTAGTATTAAAGGAGTTGGGCGAGATTTAAGGAATTTATTTATCATGAAAAGATTTCGTTCAAATACAATAGAGACAACCATTGGT